ACTCATTGGTCCGAGAGCTGACACTCTAACCAGTGAGCCAAACCAGCCAGGGCCTGAGTGTTAATCTTTAAGATCAGATGTATACAAAATTACCTGTAAAAGGAGGGGAGGAGAACATTAGGAGACTTGCCTGATTTAAGTCAGGGTTGATATGTAGAGCAGTGAGGGATAAACTTGGCGAGGCAGAGAGAGTGGGGTGAGGTTCTTGATGTATGATTGAGGAACTTGGCTTTACACTGAGGAGGAAATGTACAAATTTATGTTTCGGTCATAACAAACCATCCATTCACTGGCTGCCTGCCCTCTCAAAATTTTTAGAGATGGGAGAATTCTAAACCAAATATAGAATCCACTTGAGTTTCACAGATCTAATGTTAGAAAAAAATTCACACTTTTAAGTGTCTAATTAAAAAGCTCTGGAAAAAAGATCACTTTTTGATTCAAGAGGTTAGTTAGTGCTTTTGGACTGAACTCTTATGAGTCCTGGTCAACCAGTAACTCTTTCACACCTTAAACAAGTCACAAAGATAAATCAGAACTGCATGCATTACATCCCTCTCTTGCCCTCTCCCATAACCTTCAACTCAGAAAGGGAAGAAAATTATAGCCAGGAGCTTTTTCAATTTGAAAAGCCCCAAACATTAGCAACACAGAGTCGATGAAGACATTTTGTGAACGCCAAATACCATTTGTTCTCCTAGTCTCTGGAGAAGGGGCTACTTAAAACCACCCAGAGCAAAATAAAGTGGCGGACAAAATAGATCCAGAAACATGAAAGTAGGGAACTGACTGACAAACCTCAGAAGGAAGGGGTAAGGGAAGAGATACACCAAAGAACTTATATGCATAACCAATGAACATGGACAATAGGGAGGAGGGGGTCAATGTGGTAGTGGGGGGAGGAGAAACAGCTATAATACTTTCAACAATAAAGATAAATTTAAAATAAAAAAAATAAAGTTAAGTTTATAGCTAAAATAAGAATAATAATAATGATAGATAAAACCACCCCAGACATGGAACAATAAAGACATTTACAACAATTTCATTATGCTGCATCCGTCTCTTGGGTACTTCTAGGTTGACAACAGAAGTGGGTACCCAAAAAGGGAGATGGGCCTAGGAATCCCCCAAATTCAGTCTCTGCCTGAGTAGACAGATCTGTCTGGGTTCAGAGATCTGAAAGTTGAAGAGAAGGCCATCTTTGCACACTCTACTGGGTAAATTACAAGCACCCAATGAACAAATTTAATGTACCATTCTGTAGCAGAAAGCCAAGACTCCCAGCATTTCCAAGGCTAAAGGGCTCCAATTAGCAAATCCCATAGTAAATCTTCCTACGTTTGACACAAAGTGAGTATGACAAGCAGAAAAAATTTCATGACTAGTGTTTTCATTTAGGATGCTTTAGTTGATAAATTTAAGAGTTCCTTAATTAGCAATCCCTTCCCTCCCATGACTTTGGTCATGAGTAACAGAGAGTTAGCTAATCTGAAGTGAGAATACACATTTGTACTGTTTACTGTGGCTGGGAGAGTTAAAACTACTCTCTTTGCGTTGAGTGTACTTGGCAGTATACAGGATGAGATGATCAAAATAAGAAAATCTTTGAAATATGTACATCCAAATGAAAGTTGCTTCTCAAAATTATCATCTTGGGAAGCAACTCATTTATTTTCTTTATTGCCTTCACAGAATGTTCCCAATCAAGCTTAAAATGCAGTCTTATTCCTTGTTTTTGACCCAAAGCAACATTACCCAGCTTGACTGTTTTCAAAAATCTCCCTGACAGGATGAATATTGTTGCATTGGTAATAATCCACTCAATGTACTAAAAGCTCCGAATAAAATCCCCAGAGAAAAACTCCATAACTGTATTGAACAATAGCACCATTATTAGAATGAGCCCAACTCCATAAAGGTGAATGCTTTCAAGAGGGCAATGCTTGTTTGACTACAGAGCTCTGGTACATTTGCTTACAACTCAGACTCAAGACTTCAGAGTCATAGCTCATAGAATCGTTAAGCTGGAAGGGACAATGTGGTTCAAGCTACAAAACTGAAATATAGTTTTCAATGGGTAGCCATTTACTTGCCTATTTAGAAGAGGTCTTTAGCTTGAAATGCCACACCATATCTAACACTTTTAAGGGCCTTCTCGAAAAGGTGGAGATTATCTTGGCCTTATATGTGTCATCTGCACTGGGAAAAGTAAAAAATTATCTAAGGCATTGGAAGATGTTTGTTGCGTTTGTCATGAGTACCCTTTGGTGTGCTTGGGTCCTAGAAGCTCAGGTGGGAACTGAGGCCAGCAGTATGCTACACAGTTGTTGATATGGCAGTAGAGCCGGAAATGGGACAGATGCTGGAGGTGGCAGGAAGGCTCCCAAAAATGGCTGATGAGGCACCACAAAGATGTATTTCTTGCTCTAAACTGTTTATTTTGGTTAGCTCCATAATGGTCATCCTCAGGAAGGTCAACAGTCACACAGATACTTTTTGATTCATTTAACAGCTCTGATGGGTAGCGACTTAGAACTTTCTCTTTGCCCAAAGGACTCAATCTACTGTGTGTATTATGAAAATATGATTCAATATTAAAAGAAATATTCCTTTTGAGAATCCCACAATGATCTATAGGGGGTCATCCATTTCCCAACAAATCCTACCTTTGAATTATATAGCCTAGTGGCTAAATGTACAACCTTCAAAGTAGATCATCAGAAACCTGCCCCAGCTACTTATTATCCATGTGGCTTTGGGAAAGTTACTTAACCTCTCTGTGCCTCAGCTGCCTAATATTGCCCTCATATGGGTGAGATGAGATACCACAAGTAAGGGAGACAGAAGTCATGCCAGTTATAAACACCCAAGAAATGCTAACTCTCATTGATATCTCATTATTTATTATTTCCGTTTTTATGGTCTGAAGTCTGGGCCCAGGGAGGGTAAATCACTTCCCACTCACTATATTACTAGACAGAAAAAAAAAGAGTAATAGTTCTCTTTTATTCTTTTACCACTATTTATGTTAGAATTTGAGACTTAACTCTAATGCCTTTCCTAATTAATACTAATACTCGTTAAAAATGTTTTGATATCATATATGGCTCTTTCCATGATAATCACAATAATATGCAACTTTATTCTAGACTCTTAACTGAGAATTATATCATTTCATTCTAAAAAAACTTCTAAGATATATTATTATCAGTTTTAAAGTTAGGAAACTGAGGCTTAGAGGACTTGCTTGAATGTCAGTAAGAATTTGAACCTAAACTCATCCAAATCAAAGTGGCTACATGTAACTTAGAAAGTAGTTCCACAATAATGTTTGTTTTTAAATGATCCCAAACAACCCGTGTTAAAAATAGAGCCATATAAAATATACACATGATTCTACTCAAAGTTCATTCTTCATAATCTACAGTTAAAAAAATAAAACACTTGCTCTGGCCAGTTTTTTTCAGTGGTTAGAGCATCGGCTCATGGACCAAAGAGTCGTGGGTTTGATTCCAGTCAAGGGCATGTGCCTTGGTTGCAGTTCAGTCTCCAGCCCTGGTTAGGGTGATGTGGGAGGCAACCAGTAGATGTGTCTCTCTCACACTGATGTTTCCCTCCCTCCCTCCTTCCCTCCCTTCCTCCCTCCTTCCCTCCCTTCTTCCCTCTCTCCCGTTCTATCAGAAAAATATCCTCAGGTGAGGATTTAAAAAAATAATAAAATAAATAAAACACTTTTTAAATGAATAAGAGCGGAAAGCTTTACTTGGTACACAGCTCTTGCATCCTAGTTGAGTCTAGTTTTCTCCCATCTAGGGCCTAGGTTCACTTGGCCACAGTCTGTGGTGCTTGTGGCATCTTTTCTGGGCCGTGATCATGACAACTACTCTAGGAATGGGACTGAAATTAGGCTCTGCACCACCACATAGTCTGGACATACTGTTTGACATGTAATGTGCTGTGTTTGTGCTTGGACACTAACATAGACCTGTCGAATTACATGCACAAAGCAACATTCAGGGTCCCTGCTTGATTCCTTCCTTCCTTCCTTCCTTCCTTCCTTCCTTCCTTCCTTCCTTCCTTCCTTCCTTCCTTCCTTCCTTCCTTCCTTCAGAGTTTCCTCTTTCAAATTCCCTAATAACTAGAGTTACTCACCAGTGTGTGCTGTGGAGGCACAGAGCTACTTCTTTATACTATTCCAATATACATGCTAGGGGCAGAATAAAACCCCTTTTTATGTAAGGCAAACATTGATTTTTGTTGTTTGTAGTCATGATAATTTCAGTCTTTAACACTTAACTTTAACTCCGGCATTAGTTTCTCCAGAAGCTTCCCTGGTTTCCATTTTCTGGGTAAGATATCCAACCTCTGAGCTCTCATATCACTACCCTTGCCACTCATGATGATAGGTTTGCAAGCCTCTCTCCCTCTCTCGGCTTTACTTGCAGACAAGGATCTTGTCTTATTTAAGGTTGATACTGAGCATCAACATGGAGCCACAGAAGGATCTATTATGATGGGTTGGGCATTTAGATATTTTAATTGGTTGGCATGGGTGTAAACTGGTTATTAAATGTTCTTACTATCACGTGTGAACTTATATCAATACTCAGCATAATCACAACATCTTGCACATGGTAGGTGCTCAGGTAGTGCTTGTTGACTTAATGACCGATTTATTGACAGGATGACTAAAAACACTGCACATATCAGAATCTGATTGACAACTGGACCTGCCACTAAAGGCATAAATTATAATGAAACATGCTTAATATGAAGGAAACTTTGATCCCCACAGATCCCAATGACACTAAGGCCCTACAAGGAAATACTAGCTCATGCCTCCATGAGATCTTCATATGAATTCGTCAGAACCACTGCGGTCTTTGTGGTCTTGATCCTGTCCCAACACAAACATAATGGTAACCAAAGCATAATGACCAAAGCATAAAGACTGATGGTCTCTGGGTACTCTATGTTTGGAGTAGTAGTGTCCTTACCTGTCTGTGTTGTTGGGAGACTTGGTATCCCAGGCCTGTGACGGGCTGATTCTGCATTTTCTGAAGCAGGATCTTTTGTGGAAGTGGCAAGGGTGACCTTAGCAAAGGCTGGTTCGATAGCGGTTGGGTGGGCTGGGCAGGTGGCTGCTGCTGCTGCTGCTGTCGTTGTTGTTGCTGCTGCTGCTGCTGTTGCTGAGCTGAAATCGAGCTCTGCTGCTGCTGCTGCTGCTGCTGCTGCTGCTGCTGCTGCTGCTGGGTGTAGTGTAGGAGAGAAGGTTTGTTCTGAGAAGGCAAAACAGAAGGCATCTGCTGGTTTGCTTGATCTGAGTTAAAATGGAACAAAGGCTTGGTGTTGCCAAGACGGGGCTCCATGGCCGTGTGCGAGCTGTTAATAAAACTGCGACTGAGATCCTGAGGCTTCTGCTGCATGAGCACGTCCAGGTGCCCTCCCTGGGCCGAGGGGCTGGCCTTGTACATGTAGTTTGCCATGACTTTTGACTGGCTGCTGCCGCCAGCTACCCCAGGCATGGGGGAGCTCTGTGGGCTGAATGGCTGCTGACCGAAAGAAGGGCTAGGGATTTTCTCCTGCCCAAATGGGCCTGGAGATGGCCCAGTGGAAGAGGGCAAGGCTGACCAGTTGGGGGGCTGGTGCTGCTGCATCCTGGCATGCTGCTGACGGTTGGCAGCTATCTGTTTGAGCTGTTGGGCATGGGATACTTCCTGCCAGCTTGGCAGGGCCCGGTTTGCTCCTGAGGCTGTCTGCGGCTGAGCCTGGCTCTGAGGGACCGAAGGAATCGGGGATGAAGTGGACAAGGCAGAGCTGGCCATGGAGAATGCAGGGCCAGCCGATGGGGGCCTCAACTGAGGAGAGCCCGATGGGCCCTGGGTCAGACCAGGTGAGTATTCACTTTTGATCACTGTCTTCTCCACAGGCAAGGAGGGCCTGGGGGTGCTCCTCTGGCTTTGCTGACCCAAGTCAATGTTAAATGGATCATCCTGCTTTATGGTGGCATTGATCATGTTCTCCAACTCAAGGTCACTCATAGGAGGCACAGATATGTTGGTCAGTTCATTGAACAGTTCCTGAAGTTCAGGATCCATCAGTTGCTCTCCTGGGTCATCTCCGTACCTATTAGAAAAAATATTCTCCTGGGTCATTTGGCCATCCATGTGCTTACTGCAAGACAGAGTCTCTCCTGGCTCCTTCTTCACTTCTTTCAAGCCCATGTTAAAGATGCCATTGCCAGGAGAAGGTGTGTGGGGCGGCAGATTGTTAGTCTTTCTCAGGGGTGCTTGGCTCATGGGCAAGGTCCCTGACATGATTTGACTTTGTCCATTATTTACTTGGAGGCCCCCTTGTCCTGCAGAGAGGTTCTCCCCGACCCGGATTCTTTTGATATCAAGGAATGAGTTGTCAACAAAGCCGTTGGGCCGCTTGCTGTTGGCAGGAGACAGGTTCACTATCTGTTTTCTTTTCAAGGAGCCCTGGAGCTGAAAGACAAGAGGGGAGTACAAAAAATGAGATACGAATTGAGATATGCTTCTAATCAAAAGCGACACGATATTTAAATATTTCTTCCATTTACACACAGGATTAATTTTTTTTAAAAGCGCAAATGAAGCAGAGACTGGAATATAATGAAACTCACAGTAGCACGAGCAGAAAAAAATAAAATGTTTCTGGAGGAGCAGATCAATTAGCGGCGAGAGATCACTGTGGTTCCCATGATTGCTACAGAGGCCGATGCATGAAAGCTCTTTCGTGTATCATCAGGAGTTCTTATAATATTTACAGTTTATCACCAAAAGTTGTTCCTTTCTGTTGCAGGTCAAAATATTCCACGTTCACGCACACATAACCCCATACTGGTGTGAACGCAACTTTGACCAAGATGGAAAACACCGAAGAGTCTAAAGCTGGGATAAAATTTCCAGGTTTTTTTTTTTTTTCACAGGTTCAACCCTTTCATTACTATTATCCTCTAAGTAAGTAATAGAATTATCGTTGTGCCCAAGGAGATATGCTGTCTGGTGTCATCTCGTTTTCCTCCTACAATTCTATGGCTTTGCATTCGGGCTCGTGCAGGAGCCCTGTGTGGGTGCACAGAAACCATGATCTTATCATTTATCAAACGAGACACTCTCAGCACAGATCGTCCTGGGGAGTTGCTTCTTCTTTGCCTGTCTCTGAATCTTGTAACCAAAACCAAGGTGGAGTGAGGCAGTACCACACAGTGGTTAAGAGTGCAGGCTGTGGGAGCTGGCTGAGCTGAGCTGAATTCTGTCACTGAGTGCTATGTGACCACGACACTTGACTTATCTGAGTCTCAATTTCTTCATCCAGAAAACAGGGACAATAGCACTTGACTCATAAGAAGACATGTGATAATGCATGTAAAAGTTTAGCACAGTGCTCGCTGTAGCAATAACTCAATAAACTATAGTTTATATAAAAAATTATGGTTTACTATTTTCTCAAAGGGGAGGGCTTCTCCAAAGAGCAACAGTAAAAACAAAAATGTTAAAGTGCTTCCTTCATTCACTAACTCAGTGATTAGATTGTATGATTTGAACGTTAGAAATTCCAGAAAAAGATTTGAGTCACACCAATAAATGAAAAAGAAACATAAAACATTCATCACTGATCTTGAGATCTTGATTTGCCGCTGAAATGAGAGACTACATCTTTCCGCCTGTGGATGTTCCAGTCCAGCTGACCTACTTCAATTATTTACTGTTTGCTCGGGATAACTGCAAAATACTTGAAGCAAAAGGATACTTCCCAGATAGGAAGTCCTGTCATTTCTCTCTCCTCCTTTTCACTTACCCTCCTAAAGATTTCTAGGTAACTGAATTAAGAAATTGTAATGGAGTGTTTATTATATGCCATGCATTTTAAATATGGTTACTTTGGGTGGCTGCACAGTGATTTACAAAGTTTTGTTATGTCAACCAGAGCCACAGAGACAGTCAGTCTGGAGAGAGAGAGGCGGAGGAAGTACGGAGGACAGACACAAGACTTGATAGCATATGAGTGCCTGATTCCTCCAGGTGAGCTCTGCATCTCTCCTTGTCGTCCTTGGTATACTTTGTAATCTTTATAATAAATTCCCCTTTTGTTTAAGCTTATATGAGCTGGGCTTCTCTTATTTTCAACCAAGGCTCTCAAAGTGAAGTCCCACGTGACTTCAGATTCAGTGATGAGTACTTTGCAGCAAGGGTAGGGTATCATTTGCACCTGGGTGTGAAGCTCCCCCTCCCTCCTCTGCTGTCTCTGCGTGTGTCCTGACTCCTCACAGCATCACAGCACACTGTCAGCCATCAGCACATCCAGCAGAAACTCCAAGCAGCCGCTGTCTGTCCTCATGGAGTCAGAAAGAGCACAGACCAAAGAGGCTCGGCCATGTTACCTCAGGAGTGGCCACACCGATTTATTTCAGTATAAGTTACATTTTGAACGTTCTTTCACAACTAATAAAGAACAAAGGAATACATTCTTTTTTTTTTTTAGGTTTGGGTTATCACCTTTGATTTATTTTCCACTGGAAAAAACCTGTTCTGTCAGCTTCTCCCACTGCTCTGGCCACGCCCCAGGCAGTGCAGGCACACTCCGGCAGCACCGGCTCTTTCTCTGAGCCGCCAGGATTGTGGAGGGGGGAGAATCAGCAATGGTTGTAGCACTAATGTTGACGACAACAACAACAACAACAACAACAACAACAAAGCCACTTATTGAGCCTGTGTGCTAGGCATTGTGCAAAGCTCTCTGTAGGAGTAATCTCAGTTGATTCTCACAACTCTAAGAATCCTCACAACAGCTCCGTGAGGTTGACAGTACAGCCATTTGTTGCTTAGTGACGGGGATACATTCTGAGAAGTGCATTGTTAGATGATTTCACCATTGTGCAAACATCATAGTGTGTACTTACACAAACCTAGTACACAGGTATAACCTACTACATGCAGGCTACATGGTGCAGCTTATTGCATCCTTTACAGCATGCTCCTGTACTGAATACTATAGAAGACTGTTACACAATGATAAGTATTTGTATATCTAAACATAGGAAAGGTACAATGAAAATGTTATAAAAGATAAAGTGTGTGAAGGGGGAGGAGCCAGGGTTGGGCTGTGGGGGGAGGCACCATTGGAGGGAGGGAGAGTATATGTCAGAATGAGGGAGGAGCCCGGTCAGTGTGGCTCAGTGGCTGAGTGCCAGTTCATGCACCAAGAGGTCACTGGTTCGATTCCTGGTCAGGGCACACACCCAGGTTGTGGGCCCAATCCCCAGTGGAAGGTGTGCAGAAGGCGGCCAGTTGATATTCTTTCTCATGGATGTTTCTATTTCTCTCTCCCTCTCCCTTTCTCTCTCTCTAAAATCAATAAAAAAAAAAACTTTTTAAAAAGAAGAATAATTTTTAAAAAGAAAATAAAGAAAGAGGGGGGAAAGGAGAGAGGGAAGAAAGGGAAGGAGAAAGAAAGGGAGAGCAGAGATCAAAAGAGACCTAGAGATAAAGCTTCAGGTGAGAGGTCATTAAAGGGAGAAGGGGAGGAGAGAGATTCAGAGATGGAGGGAAGGGAGAGGAGGAGGGAAGGAGGGAGAGAGAAAGGAACAGGGCTGGGAGGACAGAGAGGCTCCTGTGGCTCCCTCACCAACTCCAGCCGGGCAGTGGGCAGGTGCAGGGCAGGTGGACAGTGTGCTGAGCCTCCTTGTCTATTTAAACCACCCAGAGCTAGCAGGAAATTGTCGTTGAGTCCAACCTTTTCTTTCCACATTGCAACATTTTTGTTTATAATTCATTATAATTGTATGAGACCACCATTATATATGTGGTCTGTTGTTTACCATAACATTCCTATGTAGTACATGCCCGTATTTCTTACCTCCCCTCACACACACACACACTTATTACAGATGAGGAAACTGAGGTTTGGAGATTGAGTAACCTTTCAAGGTCACACACAGTATAAGCAACAAAGTCAGGAACCAAACAAAGCACACCCACTGTGCTGTGCAGAAAATGGTGCTGTAGGCCCTAGCAGAGGGGAACGGAACCCACAATCAGGTACCGAGGAGGCCTGCAATCCAGTCCTGATTCTGGCATTAACTTGCTTTGCTATTCTAGGCAAGTTTTTTTTTTTCTTTTTACTTCCATGGGCCATAGTTCCCTTCTTTATAAACAAGATTCCCCCTGAGAACACTCTCCTGCCTGGACCCAGAAAATAATAGGCACTGAGGGAGTGCTGCCAAGTCTAGCTGGATGGATGACTTGAGATGGGGAATAGAAGTCTTCCTCAGTGATGTTGTGAAAGACAAATCATGAAGAAAAGAGATTCCATTAGGACTCCATTAGGTACGATACTTTATCAGAGCATTTTGGAGACAGTCTGTGTCCTGTCTTACAGAAGCTCCTAATCAAAGCCATGTCACCAAGGCCCACTGAGGCACCGATGCAGCAGGGCAGCTGCTGGGATGATACGATGCAAATGATTCTCAAAGTTCAGCCTTTACTTTGAAGTATTTCCTTTGCTGAACTAGAAATTCATCGTCAGATACATGGCTTTTTTTGAAGTTCCAGTCTAGGTTTTAATCAAAGTTCACATTTGTTTTTCTTTTTATTGTTGACACTATTATATATGTCCCCATCCTTTCTCCCCCTCTGCCTGCCTTCACTGAGCCCCACCCTATTCCTTCTGGCCATCACCATACTGTTGACTTTGTCTATGGGCTCAGATACATGGCTTTGAATTATAATATAGAGTCACTTAAAGTTCTGTGAGAAAAAACAACTTTTCCACTATTCTACCAGGAGTAGAGGAGGAACACAGTTAGTCATTAATATCTTAGTGAGAAATAGTTTGTGAGAAAAGTCAATGCCACTTTACCATGCCAAGAATAGTCCTAAAGGAATAATCTGATCAGGGGCATGGTGGGGAATGAAGATGTGGGTTTGAATTGAGAAGGACAAGGGCAAGATTAGGGATATTGGGAACTGCCCAATGCAGACCTCGTGGATATCTGAGAAAGATGAATGGAGGAAGAAAGAAGCATAAGGATAGCGTATATTCTGAGGGTAAGAGGAATCCACAACTTCCAGAATGCACTTAATAGCATTAAAAGGACAGAGAGAAAAACCAGGCTTGACCTCTCTCACTCAGGGCCGACTATCCATCAGAAAGGGTCACACAGTGCCCAGGGCCCACAGTAGTCTTAAGGACCCACAAAAATATTTTAAAAGAGAAGAAAAAAAAACTTTTAGGTTGGAAAAATGTTTTACTATATAAGAGTAATATATTTATCTTTGTGCCAACGTGGTCAGAAAATATTTTAAAATTTTGTAAGATAGAAGGAAAGCAAGAGAGCTTAATGCTCACAAGAGGCTCTCACTAACTACTGTGCCCCAAATATGTATTTTAAGACAAGTCCTCTTAAAATAAAGACCTACGTAGAGTCTCATTTAATCTTCTCACAACTCTTTGAACATGTATT